GTGGGGCCGTCTGCCCGCCAGGCGCCGAGCTGCCTCGTGTCCTGCGCGCCGGGCACCGGCTCCCCCGCGGCCAGGACGTCCTCCACAGGGGACTGGTGGAAGGGCGTGTGGCCCACACTGGCTGGGCCTGAGCTGGCCGGGGACATCATCTCCAGGGTCTTCTCCTCGGAGCTGCCGCACGGCTCCTCGGCCCCGTCGGGGCAGTGGTTGAGGAGCCCCGTGGGCGTCACGTCGAAGTTGACGCTGCGGTCACTCTTGGGCGTCTTGGCCAGGGGCGAGGGGGGCCCGATGCCCTTGAGCGGGCTGGTCTCCAGGTACCGGAAGCGCTGGGGGCTGTCCATGTCCTCGCCTGGCAGCCCGTTCTCCATGCAGCCTGGCCTGGCACACGCCTGCACGCTGGCACCGTGCCCGGGGGTCCCATTCTCCAGGGGCGACGGCTCCAGCTCGCTCTCCGCCATGGTGATGCCCTCATCTGTCGACTCCTCCCTGGGGGCAGCCCCACCGCCTGCCTCCCCTGGCACAGCCTCCGGGCTGGAGGATTTGGAGCCCTCCAAGGCGCCGGCCTCCTCAGGCGTAGGCAGCCTCCCACCATCCGCCCCGGCCTCCTTGCCCGCTTTGGCCTTGGGCTTGTCCGGCTCCTTCTTGAGAGTTGACTTCTTGAGGCTGCCCACCTTGGGCGCCAGCTTGCGGGTCTCCGGCCCCGGGGTCTTCCGGGCAGGCAGCTTGGGCGCTGCCTTCCCCTCCACCTTGCTCTCCTTGGCGTCCTTCCGCGGTGGCTCTGCTTTCAGCTCCTTCTTCGGGCCCTTCGTGTCCTTCTTGGCCTCGGCGCCGCTGTCCTCCTTCCTCGGGAGCCGCTTCTCCTCCTTCCGGGCGTCGCGGGTGGGCGGTTCTTTTTTGGGCACCGCCTTCTCTTTGCTCGGCTTGGGCCGCGCGTCCACCTTGAGCTTCTCGGTGGACGTGTCCAGCTTGGCCCTGGGCTCCTCCGGCCCGGGCTTGGCCGCCTCACCCGGCCCCTTGGCCTTGTCCTTGGTCCCCGGCTTCGCCTCTTTCTTCTCGGCCTTGAGGGTCCTCTCCTTGGGGGCGCCGGCCTCCACGAGGCTCAGCCTGGAGGCCGATTTGAGGCTCTCCTTGCTCTCGGCCCGCTTCTGCTTGAGCGGCCGCTCGGGCTGGCCTGCGGCCTTCAGGTCGTTCTTGGTGACCACTGGGCGCTTGAGGAACTCCAGGTGCTTCACCTTCTCCAGCCCCTCCAGGATGCGGCTCTGGGGGGCGCAGCCGGGGAACAGCACCCGGATGATCTTCTCAGCGGGGCTGGCCGGGTGCCACGCCAGCAGCACGCAGACGGAGGCCAGGCACTGCAGGGGCAGCTCCTGCTCCCTGGTGCAGCCGCTGCCGGACCAGTGCTGCAGCAGGAACTCCAGCTCCTTGCTGCCCTTGGCAGGGTTCAGCACGTACATGTCCAGCCGTCCCACCCCCATCTTCTGGAACAGCACGGTGGGCTCCACCCTGGGGCCGCCGTCCCGCCACAGCGGGTGAGGCCGGATGCCCAGCCGCTCCAGGGAGCGCAGGGCCAGGCTGGCCTCGTCGCTGCTCTTCAGCACCCGGGAGTCGCCCTCCGCCTCCTTCAGCTTCTCAGAGGCGTTGAGGAAGACGACGCCGAGCTCGGGGGAGATGAGGTTCCTCACCCAGTCCTCGCCGGCCTGCGCGCCTTGCAGCGGGTCCTCTTCCAGCTCGGCCAACTTGCGCTGCAGCAGGCTGTTGACGCCGGGCAAGCTGTCAGTGCCCACGTGGGTCACCAGGATGGCGTCCACGCGGTCCAGGTGCCGCACCAGCTTCCAGAAGGACGACTTGGGGTTGGATCCGCCGTTGACCAGCACGTTGAAGCCGTTGACGGCGAAGAAGGCCGAGTCGCCTCGCCCGCCGGGGAAGATGTAGCAGCAGGGCTTGGAGAGCTTGAGGAAGCCCACCATGGTGGGGGGCTCCAGCAGGTCAAAGGGGGACGGGGGCTCCAGCGACTCAGAGAGGTACTCCACAAACTCCTGCAAGCCCTCCATGGCAGGCAGCACGCAGCCAGGGTTGAACCGCAGCTCGATGAAGTCCTGCAGGTTGTGCTGCTCCAGGCCCGAGTCCTGCCACTCCCCGAAGTCCGGGCAGCTGATGGTCAGGCGGGCTTTGGCGGAGGGGTCGGCTGAGCTCAGGATCTCCCCCACCTGGCAGGAGACACAAGGCACCGTCAGGGCTCAAGGAGCGGGCAGACCCCTGAACATCTCAGCACCCCCCAGGCACGTGCTCTGCACACTAGCAACCCTGCCCGCAGCCAGCTCCACTATGGGACAGGAGCTGGGGGCGGCCAGGGCTGGCTTCCTGCTCCCACCCGCCACGCGGGCCCTGCTGCAGCCTGAGCCCAGCAACCGCTCCATCAGCGACCCTTGGATTCGGAGTTGGTGCCCAGGGGCAGGGAAGAGAAGTAGCCGCCGGGGCACAGAGGCAGCCACGCTGGCAAATCCTCGAAATGGCGGCCACAGCCGGAGGCAGCCACACCAGCGAGGCCTAGCCAGGAGGAGATGGATGCCTCTGTCTGCAGATCAGACAGCAGAGAGCCGGCGAGCGCTGCAGCTCCGCGCCACGGCCCCGCGGGGAGACAGGACGACGTGAGCAGACAGCCGGCAACTCCCTCCCTCCCTCCCTCCCTCCCTCTCCCAAGGCCGGGCTCCCCAACGCTCCCCACCAGCTGCCCCTTCCTCCTGACCGGCGCTGGGGACACAGCAAGGCCAGAACCTCCAGCCTCCCCCAGCTGGATTTGAACCCAGGTCCCTGGGGGCAAAGCCCCTTCTGCACCCCCCGAGACACTGGGCCCTGGGGCTGGCAGGCACCTCTTTATCAGCGAAGATCTGGATGAAATCCTGCAGAGAGAAGCAGCCTGTCTGCAGCATCAGCTCCCCGGTGTCCTCCACACAGGGGCCCGCGAACACCAGCAGCTTGTGCTGGGACACGTCCGTGACCAGGTTTCGCAGCTGCAGGGAGGGAGGGGGTCAGGGTCAGGCCCCCACACCAGGGGGTCTGCTCCCCCATGCAGGGCACAAATGGAGCCCCCCCGACCACATGAACCAGGAGTGCTCCGCAGAGGCTGGCAGCCCCGGGATATGCCCCCCTCTCACCTCGTCACACAGGGACTTGTCCGAAGGGTTGAGCAGCACCAGGGTCTCCAGGACATCGCTCCGGTGGTGGAGGGTCCGCTGCCCTGCGGGAAGAAAGGCCATGGCATCAGGATCCCTCCCGGAGAAGGGAGGGGACCCCAGAGCCATGCTGCCCACAGGGAAGGGAGCTCCCTGCAGCTCCTGCCTGAGCCAGCCCAGTGGGCTCTGGGCTTAGGGCTGCCCAAGCTCTGGAGGGGCATGAGGACGCTGCACCCTGGCCAGGCAGGCAGTGCCAGGCCCCTCGGAGGCACCTGGACGGATCCAGCCCCCAGAGCGGCCTGCTGCCCCACCTTCGGACACGGCCACAGTGCACGTGTGGGGACAGACACGGCCCCCCGCCACGCAGGAAGCAGGGCCACGAGCCAGAGGCCGAGATTCCCGGCTTCCTTCCTGCCGTGGGAGGAGGGAGGTGGAGAAGCTGGGACACAGCAGCAGGTCCGTGGTAGGGAACCCAGGTGTCCTGGCAGGGTCGCACCTTCTCCCCCAGGAGCAGGGACTTGCCCCTCTCGCCCAGAGGCAACTGCCGGACGCTGCCGCACGTCCCGGGGCCGCCTGGAGAAGCCATCTCCGCTCCCATGGCCCAGGGGCTTCCGGCTCTGGGCAGGAGGATGCGTCCGCAGCTCAGGAAGGCGGAAGGGATGGGGCCAAGGCCGGCAGGAAGCCGCCTTCCGGAGGGCACCAAGACGTGCTCGGGCAGATGCCGGGAGCAGGGACATGCAAAACCATGCCACTGATGACCACACCCCTCACGGGGCCGGGCACCCAGCAGGGGATGCCCACTGCAGCCTGCCTCAGTTTACCCAGCTGTGCAAGGGAGCCATGCTCCGCCTCCTGCCCACAAGCCTCAGCAAAAGCCACCTCTGACCCAATCTCACATCCCTGCACAGCTCCACGTCCGCCACCCAGCCTGGGAGGGGCCTGGCCAGCCTGCCTGTCCCTTCCGGCCACCCCCAGCGCTGATCCTGCTGTGTCACATGGCTGGGGGTGGGGGGGGAGGGGGGAGAAACCAGACACCCCCCTCCCACACATCATGAGGGCAGAGCAGCTGCCAGGAGCATGACAGCTTGGCCCCGTGCAGCCGAGGGTGCGATGACCACCCCCGGTGCATGGGGCGGGGGAGCCTGCGGGAGGAGGCTGCACAAGGGGTGCAGATGGTCCCCCCCAGGCGCCCGCAGAGAAAACGCCTCCTAATCCAGCAGCATGGCCCCCGGGGGGGGGCAGGACAGGACCTCGCCAGCCTTTGCCTGAGCCTTGTC